TTGCTACCAGGGAGTCAGGGGAGGGGAGAAGGAGGAGTTACTGCGTAAGGGGTACTGAGGATATGAGATCCACTGTGGATTTTATATTTGTGTGAACGATAAATATGCAAATTAAAAAAATAATTGAACAAGTGGTTGTCTTTAACCAAGGGATAAATATTATGTTCTATCTTCCATATAACACATAATTTCTCAGATGAACCAGAGCAATAATTCCTCCACTTAAGGATTACAGAGAGTCAATACGAGGCCTGAAGAAAGGTCAGGATCTAACCTTGTGATCATAACCGAAATGATCTCTCACTTGACAGAGAACAAAACTTGCCTTGAGTCAAACATCTTAATAAATGGCAGAATGTGGGTGGTTGGGTTCTACAATTGAATCCAAAGAATCAAAAAGTCAAACAAAATATACACCATTCAAAGGACACTGACAGAGGGTTTCTCAACTGAGAAAACTTGGAACAAGTTAAAAAGAAACAACAAAGAATTAGTTAAACAGTTATTATATATGCACACAGAGAAGCATATACATAATTAGTGACTATTTTTATTATAATTAACATGATGTTGTTGTTAGGTGCAGTTAATTCTGATTCATGGCGACCCCATGTGACAGAGTAGAACTGCCCCATAGGTTTTGCAGGCTGTAATCTTTACGGAAGCAGATGGCCACGTCTTTCTCCCACAGAGCAGCTGTGTGGGTTAAACCGCTGACCTTTTGGTTAGCAGTTGTGTGCTTCACCATTCCACAACCAGGGCTTCTTATTAACACAATAGTGTAAAAATATTTAAGGTCAGGGGAAAAATATGTAAAACTTATCTATGAAATGATAAAATGTCTTTTATAGAAACCTATGGTGCATGCTGAAGGCATGCGGAAAAGCTGAGAATACCAGAAAGATGTTTACCTGTGTTTTATTGACCATGCAAAGACATTTGACTGTAGTTTACAACAAATTATGGATAACATTGCTGAAGAATGTGAATTCTAGAACACTTAACTGTGCTTATGAGGAACCTGTACATAGATCAAGAGGCAGTTGTTCAAAGAGAACAAGGGGATACTGTGTGGTTTAAAGTCAGGAAAGGAGTGCATCAGGGTTATATCCTTTCACCATACCTACTTAATCTGTATGCTGAGCAAATAATTCAAGAAGCTGGACTGTATGAAGAAGAACATGGCATCAGGATTGGAGGAAGACTCATTAACAACCTGCGATACGCAGATGTCACAACTTTGCTTGCTGAAAGTGAAGAGGACTTAAAGCACTTACTGATAAAGATCAAAGACCACAGCCTTCAGTACGGATTCCACCTCAACATAAAGAAAACAAAAATCCTCACAACTGGACCAATAAGCAATATTATGACAAACAGAGAAAATACTGAACTTGTCAAGGATTTCATTTTACTGAGATCCACATTCAGTGCCCATGGAAACAACAGTCAAGAAATCAAACGACACATTGCACTGGGAAAATGTGCTGCAAAGATCTCTTTAAAGTGTTAAAAATCAAAGGTGTCACTTTCAGGACTAACGTGGGTGTGATGGTTAAGGCTGTGTGTCGACTTGGCTGGGGCATGAGTCTCGGTGGTTTGGCAGTTACGATGTACTCTGGCAGTCGTGTGATGCTGTGATCACTTCCAGGAGAGGTTTGATATAATGTGATCATCTCCACCATGGAATTTGCTGTGAGTAGCCAATCAGTTGAAAGGGAGTTTCCTTGGGCGTGTGGCCTACATCAAATATAAGTGGACATTCTGGCAAGGCTTGTGGGGCTTTGCTCACTCTGGATCCTGCAGCTGGCTCTACTCATCTGACCTCCGGTTCTTGGGACTTGAGCTAGCAGTTTACCTGTGGTCTCGCCTGTCGATCTTGGGATTAGCTGATCTTCACAGCCCTGCTCTCTGACCTGCTGATCTTGGGTTCACCAGCCCTGCGGCTAGGTGAATCAGGAGAAGCGTCTATCCTGACCCATGGACTTGGGACATTCCAGCCTCTACAACCACGTAAGCCAATTCCTTGATATAAATCTCTCTCCATATATATTTATATGCTTTACTGGTTTCCCTTCTCTAGAGCACCCAGCCTAAGACAGTGTGCCTGACCCAAGCCATGGTATTTTCAAGGGCCTCAAATGCATGTGAAAGCTGGATAATGAACAAGGAAGACCGAAGAATTGATGCCTTTGCCATTACGTGTTGGTGAAGACTACTGAATATACCATGGACTGCTAAAAGAATGAACAAATCTGTCTTGGAAGAAGTACAGCCAGAACACTCATTAGAAGTGAGGATGGCAAGCCTTTGTCTCACATACTTTGGCTGTGTTATCAGGAGGGATCAGTCCCTGGAGAAGGACATCATGCTTGGCAGAGTAGAGAGTCATCAAAAAAGAGAAAGAGCCTCAACAAGATGGATTTACACAGTGGCTGCAACAATGGGGTCAAGCGCAGAAACGACTGCGAGGATGGTGCAGGACTGGGCAGTGCTTCGTTCTGTGGTACACGGGGTCACCATGAGCTGGAACTGACTCGATGGCATCTAACAACAACAACAACGTGGTACATGCACACCATCCGAATGATTCACCAAAAGGACAGCAGCTGTCTTCGAATGATGAATTTTATGGCTGGATCTTCATTACCATTTTCTGTCTATGTTTTTCAGTATTTAGTACAATGGACATATTTAAATTCTACTCCTGTAGTAAGGAATCTGATCTCACCTAAAGAGAGGGCTACGGCGGCTGGGTGGCACAAACCGTTAGTGCCGGACTACTAGCCAAACCGTTGGTGGTCTGAACGCACCCAGAGAAGCGTCAGAAGACAGGTCTAGCAATCTGCTCCTTAAAAGCCACAACCTTGAAAACTCTGTGGAGCAGTCTGACTGTACACAGTTCTACTCTGTACACCACGAGTCAGAGTGGACTCAATGACAACTAACAGCAACAAAAAGAATTCTGGCCTTGGTCCTGGCTCCCGGGAGGGGACCTCTAAACCCTTGGCATTTCCAGAGTGACAGGACTGATCTGTGATTCGTGGTGGCCCCTGGTCCTCACCTGATAGTTTATACTATAGAGGTGACACAGAGTGGAAGCTGGTCAGGCCAGAAAGACTCACCATGGGATTAGAGAGTTGGGACTTGTGTTCATAGTAGACAAATATGAACCGGTAAATGAGACCCCACGGCAGGAAGAAACACACAGCTGCCCAGAGGGGGTCAGCTGATGAAACCACCTGTGTGGAAGTTAGGTGGGGGTTTCTTTGGTTACAAAGTTGTACTTTAACATTCAACACCCAAAACAATGACTTGTTTATTACCAACAGGTCCTGGAGGGGAGCACACTCAAGGGCCACACACTGAGTTCACATGGGTGCCAAAGAAGGGGAGAATCAAAGAGCGCAGACAGAGCTAGCCTGAGCCTTTAATAGGATCCAAGGGGGCAGTACACTTTATTTCCTGAGCTTAGTGACTACTGGCTACTTTAAAACAAGTTATGGGCACCTGGTCGGGGGAGGTCTACGGATGCAACGTTGGCAGAGGGCATGGGGTCCTTGTCTGGGTTTCCAGGTGTGATGTGTAGGTGGGGAAGGGGAGAGTCAGCAAGGAGAGGAACTTCCCTTGGACTGTTATCTGGGATTTTGCACGGGAGCGTGAGGGTGAGTTGATTAGGAAGTCGAGCAGGTCTGCTCTTTCGAAATAAGTTATGTTTAAGCAGAAGCTGGAAGAAGAGGATGCCGAGGCATTTACAAAATGGAGTTTGGGTTTCTTATGATAGGCCTTTGGGCCCTAAGATACCAGCCTGACTTTGGGGTTGGGGAGGCAAGTGGAGGGCTGGAGTTCAGCCACCTGGGCAATAATTCAATCAATCATGCTTATGTGATAAATATTCAAAAAAATAAAAATAAAAAAAACCCTGGACACTGATGCTTATGTGAGCGTCTTGGCTTAGCAACGATCCATGGGTACTGTCACCACCAACGCCATCGATGCCGTAGGAAACTTGGCATCTGGAACCCTCCTATACGCTGCCCTATGTGTCTCTTCTTTGGCTGGTTCTAATTTCTATGTTTTCCCGGTAAAAATGTGATCATGAGTAAAGAGGTTTCAACGAGGTCTCAGAGTCCTTCTATACGGAACCTGAGGGTGGTTCAGGTAAACTCCCTAGCCTGCAGCTGGTGTCAGAACTCTTGGACTGATTTGGCAGTCTGGAGGATAGTGCCCTTAACCTCGAGTTTGGCTAACTATGGTAGTACTTAATCTTCTTTAAAAAAAAAAAAAAAAAAGAATGAAGTTGTTCCTGGGATATACCGAGGAAATCAACATGACTGCCCATCAGAGCATCCCCACTGCAATGAGAACCTACAGTAAACAAACGGTGCCTTCATTTTCTCTTAAGATCGCAGCCAAGAAAACCCTATGGAACAGTTCTACTCTGCAACACATGGGGTGGCCACGAGACGAAATCAGCTCGATGGCAACTAGCAACAGGGAAAAGGAAACGTGAAGAGAAGACAGTCATGTTTAGTAGGCACATAAACATGTATACTGGAAATATGACTACATAGAAACATACAAAGAGAACTGATTAATCATTAAGCTTGAAGAGAAAACTGAAAACAATTCCCACTGGAATCACCATGTCTGTAATACAATCAAAGGTAAGCATGCTGAGGATCTGGTATATTATCCGAATCAGCGACAAAGCAGCCCCGCTGGGGTAGTGGTGAAACAGCTGCTAAACCAAAGGTCGGCAGTTTGAACTCTAGACCTGGCCATCTGCCCCCATAAAGGTTACAGCCTAGGGGGCAGCTCTACTCTGTCGCATGCTGTCATTGTGCTGAAATCAACCGGAGGGCACCTAACAACAAATTAGTGAACACAAACTGAACCATTATCAAAGACACTTGGATACACTGAACATTCATCCAATATGACCATGTAGTGAATCATAAAGAAAATGTCAGCTAATTTCAAATAAGATGATATCTTACCGTATTTAACAATTCTCCTATTACTGAATATTGTATTGTCTTCAATTAGAAATAACGCTGTGAAACAATCTCAAAAAAAAAACAAAAACCAGGAGATTAGATAGGCCACAGTTCTTGCACAGTGAACTCAAAATGAAAGTAAACAAAAATCAGATAGAGGAAGCAAACAAATCAAAAAGCGAAGATAGTTTATATACTTAGAATCTGATTACAGGAAAAGTTCGTATAATCTATGTGACAACTGGTAAACGACCAATTTAGAGTCACTGTCACCATGAAGAACCAAAGTACTGAAAACCAGGGCATGTGTTCAAGAAGTAATCTTGAAATAAATGTATTTTTGAAAACATACTATTAAAAAATGAAGAAAGAAAAAAAAAAAAACAAAAACCATTGGCCTGGAGTCCATTCCAGTTCCTGGCAACCCCAGGTCTTACAGCCAGTAACTGCTGCACAGATTTCTTGGCTGTAACCTTTACAGAAGCACAGGCCTCTCCTCTGCGGGGCCCTGAGTGGATTCAAACCGCCAACATTTCCTTAGGGAGGTACACCAGCGTGAACCGTTGGGGCACCCAAGGACCTTAAAAAAAAAAAAAAAAAAGGTAGGTGGGCTTGAAAATAAATAAAACGACTGCTCAAATTTGTAAACCAAAAGAGGGAAAAATGAAAACCAAATTTCACATTAAAAATTAAGTAAATAGTATAACCTACAGGGTTAAACTGTTCCCCCTCCTTCCATCACACCCTGGGTCTGTGAGTTCCTGATAAGGCATCCTGTGTCACAGCCCAAGGCCACTTCACTATGTCGTAGCCCAAGGCCACTGCTACCCCTCCATTCCCACATGCGCAGTTGTCCTTAGACGAATTTCATGCGTCACACCCAAAAAAACCGACACCCCCTAGCTGCCCTGCTGCATCCCCCACGCACCCGACACATGTTAATCAGTTCCTGGAATTGCCACCTAGTCTCAGAAACTTCATGAATTATGCATAACTTCCCTATCCCGAACCCATAACTGTCCTAAAATCCCGAGCCTCAGGGAGCTTGATTTGAGACTCAGTCTCCCAGCTCTCTGCTTGACCGTCTTGCAATGAGGTGCACTTCCTCTTTCTCAAAGGCCTGGTGTCTCTCAACTGAATCGAGTGGCACCTGTCAGGACCCACCCTCCTCGGGTTATAATATCAACGAAACTTCAAAGAAATGACAAGCTTCAGCACTGAAAGGACGAAGCAGACTGGCTTCAAACGACAAAATGAACAAAACTTCCTGACGCGCGTGCGGGGGCCTGGGGCGCGGCTGGCGCCGCCCTGAGAGCCCAGGGGACGGCCCGGGGCGCAGGCGACGACCCCACAGGCTGCTCCGGGCGGAGGCGGGGAGGGGTCGGCGAGGGGCCGACGGAAGGCGGCAGGAGGGTTCCCCGGCCGGAGTGGGAAGGCCCCGCGGACCGGCTCGGAGCTATTTTACCGGAAACGGACGCGGATGCGGGCCGACAACGGGGCGGGTGCGGGGACCTGAGCGTCCGCAGGGTGCACCGGACCCCGAGCGGAAGAACGCGGGCGGGAGGGGACGCGGAACGCGGGATTAAACTAAAAAGACGATGCTCACTCACCCTCGTGGGATGTCGCTCCGAGCGAGCGTCTTCCGCAGGCGCAGGAAAAGGCGCGGCGGGCGGGGCTGTACACAG